AGCGTCATCATCATTAAAAGTTTTACCACGAAGGGAGTTGTCCGGGGATCGAAATAAGTGGTAATCCGATGGCGCAAGATCGGGGCTATATGGTGGGTGTAACATCAATTCCCAACCAATATCCATCAATTTTTGCCGAGTGGACAAAGACGTGTGCGGCCTAGCATTGTCCTGCTGGAAAATGACACCTTTACGATTGACCAATTCTGGTCGCTTTTCCTTGACCGCTGCATTCAATTTGTCCAGTTGCTAACATTCACGAATAATAAAAAATAACATAATAATAATAATAATAATTTTATAATATAACATTTACGGATATCATAAAAATGGGAGTGAAAGAGTATAACTGAAATCGGTAATTACTTAGTTGCCAACCCAATATTTCTCTTCAATTAACACGTCGAGTGCAGCGTCGGTCGCATATGGGGGAAATTCATTTTTATTGTAATACATTGAACGAATTGAATGTTGCTAGGATTTTTGTAAAACGAAAGAGTTGAACTAATATTTCTTAAGGTAAATTTTAACTTACTGGTTTCGGTTTCATTAATTATCCCTCGGACGACGGATTGTGCAAAAAAATGGACAATTTTGGAAGAGGAGGGCTCGTTTTTATAATTGTTCTAATCTTCTTTTCCCAAATTGTCCATTCTTGTGTACAATCTCAGCATCGATTAGAGACTGTATTCTCATGTATACTGTATTCTCATAGTTATGCAACTTTCGACGTTTACGATCAATTTCAGATTTAATCACCGATTTTTCGATACATGTTTTTGAAGATATTTCTTATAGATGTAGTCTTTGTGTTGTTCCTAGTGTAATTGCAATTTATTCGATATAATTGTTGAAAACTGATTAATTAGATGGCGATTTATACAGTCCGAGGTTTCAATTACTTTGATGTTGTAGAAATTTTTGGTGTTGATATTCGGCATTTAACGCGTCAAGTAAAAATCTTTTTATATCGAGCGAAGTTTTCTCGGCTAAAATATTAACATCGAGCCGAGTTAACATCAAACGAGTCAGGGATTCCGTGACTCGTTTCTAAATTAGACTCAAATTGCTGTCGATTCGCGCTCGTCGCGCTAAGACGGACTGCCCGAAGCTGCCAAGTCTTTGATATTTTGTTTTCAAACGAGTCGACAAATTCACACAGAGATCCGTGAAAACTGATCGGCGAAAGAAGCTTGAAGGAATCTCGCCGCTACCCGGTTTCGCGTTTATGAGCTTCACAATGGCCGAACATTATTCTAAGACGTCGCGGTGTGACGAGCGCCGTGAACTTATTTTCGGCGTCGGCTATTTCCGTCGACGGAACGCCGCGACGCCGGCCAGAGAAGAAACTTGAACGCGAGCACGCTTCGCCGAAAATTCTGACTCCCACTTCCTGCGAGAGGCCTCCCTTCCACGGCCTCGAACATCTTCGAACTTTGCGAAAAAATCCAGACAGAAATTTCCGACGCTTCGCTTCGACGATTCTTCAGACTTTCTCGAGATTATTTCTTGCGAATTCCAGACCTCAATTTTTTCACATGCATTAACTGACGCGATGATTATTAAAACTGCGAATTTTCTGCATTTACAGCAAAATTGTATAAACGAAACACGGAGTATTTTGAAGACACTTCGTAGAATTTAAAAGCACTATTGTATTGCTTTCACCGCATTAACGCCATTAAGAGAAGAAATATTAAATATATCAATTTTCTTATCAAACTCCTGTTTTATATAATACATGAGGAAAATTTTTATTTGCGTAAAGATCCGCAGTCTAATAATGATAAAAAAAATTCCAAGCATGTTCTTCACCTATTTTTCCACTAGATAAAATTATTTATCCACCAAATATTACAAAGTTCAACAGTGAAAAAAATGTTCGATATGCGGAACAATGACTTCAGCTTTCAAAGACGAAGCATCAGTGATTCTGAAAATTTTTCTAATCGAAACAACATATTTTTCAAGCTTCGTTTCGATGGACAAAAATATTTCTGCACCGAAGATTGACGGGTTTGTTAGTCAAAAAAATTGTTGAACGTATCTGTATGCATTGCATGCATGAACCAATTGCTTAAACTTCGGCGAATCAAATATCGGTTACTTTAAGAAGCTTCCAGTATTGAAAACATATTAGGGAACGCTGTGCGAAGGAATTTGAGCGCCAGGAGGAGACTAAATGTTGACTACACGAGCTGGTCGAAGGATTTACGATCGCCCGAGGAAACTAGGAAGCGGAGGCTCTGAATTTTCCGCCGCTTTACCATCTCGGCTCTCTCCGGAGGCTCCTCGCGAACGATGTAGAACGTTCTAATTGGTCTTGTTGCGTCACTTCCCGGCAGGAAGTCGACTCCACCGGCCGAAGCGACGTGCAACTCGCGAAAGGGCAATTCTCGTTACTGGAGAGCACCGCGCGTCTTCGTAATTAACCGCGGTGCGAGATGATGCACCGTACCGCTTTATCAAACCGGCTTCTCGAGCTAGTTACCTCACTTTCGAGTACCGTTGCGGTCCAAATCGATCCTGCAAATCCTACGAAACCCCCGATGCTATGGCGTTCCATTGCACCTTTTACGAAAGACGTATACGTAAACTCCGTAAGCTCCATAAGCGTGTATACATCAACTAAATAATTTTGTTGACTACACAGTTCTTTGATTTTTAGGGGGATAATATTTTTTCTTGTTTAAACGGAGATTGGAAAATATTCCTATATTTAATTTGTAATGATTCCTCCATCTGCTGCGTTTAAAAATATTCTTAAAGCTGTCACTGTTTGACGAACCAGAAGTCTTGAAAGTTCAGGCGAACCGCTGCTTTTTCTTCGTTTATTTGCACTTTGCGTTTAAAAAAAGTGACTACGGGTACTTCGAGGCGCACACTTTCGAATATTGGAATGTGTGTCGAAGAAGATTACTCGTGAGAGTTCTTACTAAAGAGAATTTCACAGATCTCGAAGATCTCGCGAAGTGAGTTTTCAGCGACGTGGAAGAAGAAGAGGAAGAAGCAAGAGACCGACGGAGGGCCGCAAATAGGTTCGCGAGAATGTAATCGAAAAGCGTTGATGGTACGTTAACGGCGGTCGAAGCTCGAAACGCGGATTGCGTAAAAAGATGGACCAGTTTCGGCCGGTGCCAAGTTGCGCAACAGTCGGTTCGCTGCGAAATATGCGCGCGGAGTGAGTCAGGCGTAATAATTTCGCGTTTGTCATGGCGCGACAGGGCGCGAGGCGTCGCGATCTCTCGAAGAAGAAAGTCGCAAGCCAATTGTCTTCCCGTTCTAATTAAGTGGCTACGAGCGACCGGTAGAAGCCGGGAAATCGCGCGCACTTGGCAACGATTTACACGCCCACGGAAATAACAAAGTCGTACAATATTTCATACGTCAAATAGCGCGCGGAGCAATACAAAATACTAATGCGATACTGCTATTGAAAACGCGACCAATGAACGTGCAGTGCAACGGTCGATCGAATTAGTGCAGACAGGGAAGGAAATAGTTTCTCGCAATCCAGAATTTATAGTTTCCTGGAGTCTTCGGGGCACGTCTGTAGAGTCTAGTATAATATATGGCTATCTTAATTAAATAAGGAGAAGCGGAACTAATCAATCAGACTGTAAGCTGTATTCGAACACCTTTTAAATCGCACTAACTTTTTGAAAACTGAACTGAATGGTTTCAATTTTTTTAGAGATGTTGAGTGACTACTTTACTTTACTGTATAATGTCTAAAATACATTTTATTAATTTAGCACTTGGAATGATACAAAAGATAGTAACGCAATTTAAAAACTTGCATGTACCATAAATGCATAAAAATCCGCAGTCTGCTCATAACAAGGTCAATCGATTTCGATAAAATAAAATTTTTTAAATTTTCGTTATAAGCTCAGATAAAAAAGATCGAAAAAACGTAATTAATTTTGTTATTCTAAACCCAGTAACATCTCTAAAAAAATCATCTAGTCCAATTTGGAAAAAGCCATTGCGTTTTGAAAGGTGTTCGAATATTTTACTCCAGGGGTTGTAACATCCCTTGGGCGAACAATGGCTGCCCCAGTCAATCGGAGAGTACCACGACTATTCGATCAAGTTCCGTCTCTTGAGCCTAGCCCGAAACGGCAAGCTCCCAGATTAAACAATGCCCGAAATCAGCGGTATCGAGTGAACATTCCAGAACGAGGGTAGAAGAATGACTTACCAGAAGCTTGTTGTCCACAGTCTTGACAACGATCTCCTCGGGCGTGTACTGGGAGACGTCGAATCGGAGCTTCAGCATCTTGCTGTCTCCTTCGTCCTGGATGAGTGGGCTGTTGAGTCCGTCGAGCCAGGCGGAGTCATGCTGCGGGCTAAGAGAGCTGTTCTGAGTACTCTGGGTGGTCGTGCTGAAAGGTAGAGCAAGCGGAAAAACAGCCGGTTAGCCGAAGTGTGGTGCGATCGATTCGCGTACATACAAGTAGTGCGGGACAAGTGCGCTCGAACGATGGACGAAAAAAAAACAAAGTAGAAAATGCGTCGACGACGGGGTGAAATCGAATGAAAGAGAGAGGGCGAGTGAGAAAAAGAAGGCAGGAGAGGGAAGAAAGAGCGAAATAGAATGGAGAAAGAGGACTCTCGGGGAAGAGACGTGTTCTCGGCTGCGCAGACCCTTACCTAGGCGGTGCGATGATGCAACGGAGAGGGAAACAACACAGAAACTGGTCACGAATGGAGGACTATCGTGCGCAAACTACTTCGAAGGGTCAAGCTCGGGTGCAACCGTCTGGTGAAAGCTCGATTTCCCTGAGCGAAACGAACGTCACACGAGAAAAACAAAATCACACTGAAGCTGGCTAATGTGTATCTACACGTTCAACTACTACTGTGCTGGGTCTGTTAGGTTAATCGTGAGGCGTGGTGTTAGGTCGCTGAAACGTGAACAATGCGTGGCCCCATTACCTCTGTGCGATTCTCGATGGTGGTTGTGTGAACAGCTTTTGACTACCGTCATTCGTGTCAACGACTGTAGATCGATAGCATTGACTCGCATTGGAAGCCCTCGTGTTTCACATTCTTTTCGTAGATATCTCAAGAAATATCATCTATTCTTGCCAATTCGATTGTGCAGTTTTCACCGTATAGTAATTGGAAAATCAAAGGAGTGCCATCGATTTTCAGTAACGTTCACGCGATTTACGTGACCGAACGAGCTGTACAGGATGACAAACTAAATGGCAGGAGACTTCGACTACAGCGATTTGCATGATTCCTGCCCACGTTTTCGAACGTCTCGGAGATTTAATTACGCAAACAGAAGTTTCATCGTTCGTGTAATTATTTCGGTGTATCAATCGATACGAATTCATATCTATTAGGCGGCAATATCTATTAGAAGCGGCAACTCCGTTAATATATTAAATATATTAAAAGACATATTAGATATATTAAATATATTAATATATTAAAAACTATATTAAATCAATTTTACATTAGATAAGATATTATATTAAAAAATGTTGATTGTCAAAATGGTTTGAGCGGCCAACTCTGAAATATTCGAAAGCGTGTGGCAGCAGCGGTGCAATGTACTGCAACGTCCGGCTAAATGAATTAGGCGTTCCGGACGGTTTTCGTTGGCGGCGATTGTTCGCTTTTATTTTTGTTTTCTGTGTGGTTGTTTTTTGCTGTTTTTACAGTGGCGTCACCTTTTGAAGCTGTCGAATGCGGACCGCTTTGGCGGTGCTGCAGGGTCGACCTTGTCCCAACCTTCGGTCTTCGAGGACGTCGACGTACGTTGTTCGCTGGAGCTCGTGTGATGTCGACTTCAAGTTAGTCACCAACGTGCCAATGCAGAGAGAGCCAATCAGAAGGCGAGACAGAAGTCGAGCAGGGGGAGGAACAGGGGGCGCATTATTAATCTTGTTAACTTTTCGGTTGCTTTTGTTAGTTGTTTTCTTTCGAATCGCTTATCAGTTTTTTTATTCGTTATCGCTTTATTCGCTTGATCCTTCTTTTTTCTTTAATTTCAGCGGTTCGTGTTATTTCGGCAAAATCGCTGATCACTCTTTTCCGAACATTTCCGTTGCTTCTTGGCGATCAACGACAACGCTATCGTTCTTCGGAAGGATTCCAAGTGTACACCGGGAAACTCGTAATCGAACAGCGAGATCCGATCGCGTCGCGAGCTAAAGAAACGAGAGTAGTGCTTGCGATTGAACCAACGATTGTTCTGACGAATTTTGGACGAAGTTTTGATGTTGATCGCCAGGAAACTTTGCGTACATAAGGCGTTCCAAAGAGATCCATTCCCAGGATAGAATTAGACGCTTCCCTCCGTATTTACAAGTGAGAGAGGAAAACAGAGAAGAGGTGTAAAAAAGTATTATAGCACCGGAAGCTTCATCCCCGTTATTGTTTGAAAACCGCGCGTTTGTACATGGCACTCTCGTTTAGAGCGATTAAGCACTGTTCTACCGCTTTATCTACCGGAAGTCACTGCATAAATTCCTCCCGAACATCGTAAACAAATACAGTCGAATAACTTCACTCGAGATAATTGTCTGAAAGGAAACTATTCGGCTTCTTTCGAACGAAGCACACTCGTTAAACAGCCGGTTATTAGCTTCCGGTAGTTAAGCGGTCATGCCTAGTTGACCCTAATCCGAGAGAGAAACGTAATTCTTGGAATTCCTAAAAATCACGGGTTCCTCAAATCGAGACGGATCGAGTTCAAAGTTCTTCGGGAAGATCGAAAGAACAATGCGGGGTAATCGAAGTCTTTAGGTGACTCGAAATTATTCCACGGTACCGAATAGATCGGAGAACGCGAGCAATTTCTAGCTTACTGAAAACACAAAAATCGTGGACGGATTAGTTGTCGTACATATGATAACGCTGCCATTAAGAAGACCATCACGAACAAGTAAACGTTCGTGAGCCGAAGCGTTAAACATCGAGTACACCTGTCCTATGGACAGTTTCGATCATTGCAAAGCCAAACAACGACGCTGATTAAACTGATCATACCTGTTCTTATTCTCTTGGAAAATCAGGAAATCGCTTGGCACTGCCTCGACTCGACTCGACTCGAAAAACATCACACACGAGTGCTGATTAATGTCAACAAGCAAAATCGCCTCGGGACACGCGGATCGATCGATGCTGGGCTAAGATCGTCCCGATAGATCGCCAATTAATTAATCCAGCCGGACTATTTCTGTCGAGACCGGTGCGGGTTCGGTGAAACCGATAACCGGAAGTCGGGGCGGCTCCTCTTCGGGGAGGCCGCCGACCTGGAGGATACTAAAATAGTGCACCAGCTGCGACGCGGTGTCATGGCTCGATATTAACCCCCTGGCTCGTTCTGTCCTTACACACAGAACGAGTCTGCTATTTTCAGCAATTCGATAATCCCTTGTCGCTGCCGTTCCAGTTCTCGTAACGAGCAAACAGCTGTTGCCACGCGGTCTCCAGTTTGTCATTTGCTCTCGTTCTACGTCCCGAAGGGGATGATTTCCAGAGCTACGAGACATTCTGAGACATCCATAAACGCGTCCAGAGCGAGCACAGATTTTTATGGGATTGTTTCGAGAAGTTTTAATAAATACAGGATCGAAATATTGTAGCCAGCATGTTTGGTGAAATTTAATTTCGTTTTGTTCTTTTTAGTACTTGAGAAATAATTTAATTCTTTGACGACGATCGTCGGCACAATACTCACATCCGGTGTGCATTTCTTGCTCCAAAGGTTGCAAACGTATAATTTCATTGTTATGTAACAAAAGACCTTGTTCGTTTTTCCCATTATTCAAGCATTTGATGTATACACTTAGCGACAAAAGTTATGAAACTTTGCATACAAAGTTGACATTTCAGCAAAATTTTGATGTTTCGATAAATATACGTCTTACTAAATTAAGAGTACATATTATAATGAAGCTTGTAACACATTATTTACATTGCAATATTCTTTTATTTGGTGAATACGACAGATAAAACGGACAAAAATACAAAAATAAAATATTAAGAAATTGTAGAAAGAAGATTTGATGTTTTCGTTGACACGATACAAATTTTTAGCCTATCTTAAGATGGTTTACTTTACCCAAGAATATGCATTTATGTAACATGTCTCTTACCTTTTATCAATAAGTGTATAATTTACTTTTCCGACGAAAATGTAAAATCGTTCGTTTCGTACGAAATTCTACGAGTACTTTGGTAAATCAAATATTTTATTCATGAGGACTCCGATTTCGAAGACAGTGTCGCCTTTAAAGAATACTAACAATACCGTGTCTTACCTTTGGAATATTTCGTTGATCTTTATTGATTCCTTGTTCGTTCTTGACGAACGAACGCTTCCGAAAATACTCACGTGTCCAAGAACGTTTAATGGGGCAATAATGGTACTCGCCATTAGGGGAATATATTACTATCAAGCAAACGTTTCACCGACAAATATCGTTCCTGTCACAAATTCCACGGAATAGGACAATTTCGACGAGAAAACGGTCGTCGTATCCCGTCACGCGACCTAACGTGTCCGCACGCTCCATTTTATCCATCGCGATCGTAAAAAGCAATAAATAGCTGGAGTGAGTCAACGGTGGAACAGGCGAAACGGTAAAAAAAGGGGACAATAATCCTAGCGATATATCTTGATAGTTCTAAATTGAATGCACGGCTATTAGCCTCCTCCTCGATCAGGATGAGACTGATTCCTGCCGGTAGCAAAAACGAAGCCGAGGTGACAGAACCGGGACAGGGCGATAAGTTGCTGTCTCATTCTACGCGATTACCGACAACCATACTTTCTTACAAACTCCTAGATTAGATCTGCTCGAAGAACGCGATAACAGCGTGTCTAAAAGGAATTTACATTTCCCGGATATGTATAAAGATCTGTAAAAATCGTGCGGCGACTTTGTGACCGAGCTTTTCCGGTCGCGATAGAATTCAGCGTTCTACAGGAGTGTGTCAGTGCGTGTAAACCCCCATTTGCTGAATCGATTCATAAACTTGGACAAGGTGAACGAAGAGGATATATGTTTGCATAATCTAGAACCATCGAGATCATTCTGATAACCTAGCTTGCCGGGTACTATTCAAGAATACCTCGAAGAATGCGTGCTTTTCGTAGATTTAGATCTACAGGGTAATGTCAATTTAATGAATGTTTACTATGAATGTGAACAATAGCAGAGATTTATTGTATAACTGTATTAAAAAAGTCGAATAAGTGGACATCGGATTTTTACGTAAAATAGAAATTTCTTGCATCGATTGCAAAAACCAGAAAATAAATAGCAAGTTAATCTCTTTTTTAATCGTTTTAATAGATTAAAGATAATACATTGGCATTTCGAAATTCTTTTAAACTTTCTATCGCTCGAAATTTCAACTACTCAATTCTAGTTATAAATGCACAGTATCCGCAGTTTACGAATAAGTCGAAAATCAACTGAATGCATTTTCCAAGCTAAACACCGCTATTAGATCCTCCGGGCTTCCTAGAACGGGGCAGTCTGGAGCTCTGGAGCTTCCGAAACGCGGCGAATTCAACAGCGACTCGCATCCAGCGGTTCGGACAAAGGGTACAAAGTGGGGGCGTGCATCCGCAAACATCCGTTTAGAACGGGCCGCAAAAAAAAGAGAATAAGCGGAGGGGCTGAAAAGGTAATCGTATGCAGAAGAAGAGCGTCGTCGGCGTGGCCAGAATTGGTCATCCCCGGAAGAAGCGAAGGAAGATGACGAAGAACAGGTAGAAGAAGAAAATGAAGAGAAGAGCCGAGGAGAAATTAAAAGAGGTCTTCCCGGTCTCCTCTGTTTAGGAAGACCCCTTTCACACGGCACAAAAAGACCGCGCCATATCGAGGAGATCGCGGTGCCTGTCAAAATGTCTTTTAGAGCGAAGCCGAGCAGGAAACGCGGCTGGTAGAGCGAGAGCCGCAGACAACAATTATCCTCGGCAGGAGAAAGGTCCTAGCAGCCCGAAGAGGTCAACCATGCCGAGCAGGATATCTCTCGCGAGGACGGAATCGTCGAGCTGGAAAGGCCAACGCGATGCTTACACCGCTAAAGGCCGATCATTTCGTGCCCGGCGTTTCCGTGACCGGCTCTGGGTGAGCTCTACAGTCGACAACTATGTATGCATGTATACATATATGTATGTGGCAAGCGAAATTTCTCGGGAAAACTGTCGACGACGAACCAACACGAAGAACGCTAATCCACTCTGTGCCCTAACGAGACTGCGTTTAACGTTATGTCTGTCGCGTCACTCGTGCGTGACTGACGCAATAATTTGTTCAAATTTGAGAAAATAAAACGCAAGGTCTTGGAAAATCAAGGTCGATGTCCTTATCCGTCCAATTTCAATATGATTAAACAAAATACTTCGATTGTATAATATTGTTGAGGTTGCTGGCACGGCAGTGTTGATTAATCGTTGCCAAACTACTTTCGCCATTTTGACGAAATCTCGTGACGAGATTAAGCGACAGCTGTCGTCGCAAAATATTGTACAGTAGATATTTTTACTCATCTTTGTAAACGATAATATTTTCTTTTGTATGATTTTTAATTTGTTCACCCTTACGTATTGCTTTCTTTTTTAACTGAAAAATTTTCCCGTGAAAGAATCGATAAATAAATAGACACAGTCTATAACTGGAAAAAAGAAAACTGCCAAACTATCTTCTTTTGCATTTCCTTATCGAACCTAGTAATACAAATATCCATCCAACATTCACAGGATCACATTTTCATTTTATCTCGTCCAGAAGGAACCTTCTCTCGAGCGGACGAAATCATCGCCTTG